AGAGACCACAGATGGGTTGTATTCATTTCCCAAGCCTGCTAGCACATGTGAGACTTGATCTTCCTCACTAATCCTTTGACCACAGGCAGCTAGCAGATCACAAAAAGACTTGATGTTGTTGAGGTAGTCTTTCATAGAAGAAGTGCGTTTCTTGGTGGTCTGGAGTTTCAACTTGTACTGCATGGTCTTGCCTGCATTTTGGCTATCAAAAGCAACTTCTAGTGCTTCCCAGATCTCTTTAGAGGTGGTGAGTCCAACTGTGGAGATGAGAATGGACTCTGTGAGTGAGGACAATAGCCAAGAGGCTAAGAGCTGGTCCTGCTTGATCCAGAAGATGAAAGCTGGGTTGATTCTTGGGGTATCTGCATCTGGGTCTGAGATGGTTTGGTTGGGAACTGGGTTACTTCCATCGAGGAAACCTTCAAGGCCATGTCCCCTTACAGCTGCTAGCACTTGTTGCCTCCAGATGAGATAATTTGAATCTGACAGTTTGATGCTGATGAGTTGGCTTTGGGGTTGGATAGCAACATCTGAATTTTGATTGGCCATGTTTATAGGATCTGGAGGAAAACTAGAAAAATAAATGGATTGTCAGAGACTGGTTTGGCTAACCAGCTCTGATACCATAATGGGAAAAATCAATGTTCATCTTTCTTGGACAAAGAAGAAATGCTAAGGGCAAAACAAGAACAATCACTAGAATAGGTTTACAGCATTAATTTCCTACAAAAGCATGCAACTCGGTTTTCCTCTTTTTGTACAAGGCTTACTAAATCTCAGCCACACATTTCAAAATGAAGACAAGCTAGATGGATGACACATAGCACTAAGGATAAGAATTAATAACAAACTAATGTACTAGCATAAGTGTGAGCTGTCTCTTGTCTCTTCTGCACGTTGCATGGCCCCGCTGGTGTGTTCATGCTGCCTTGGCTTGCAGCCCTTGGTCATGTTATGGCTAGCTCTTGACCATGCTGAAGCAGGATGACTTCTAACAGGATATCCAATGATTTGGAAACATTTGTCAGCAGTGTGGCCATTGTAACCACAGTGAGAACATTTTGGGCGTTTTTCATCTTTGGGAAAAGGTGGATTATAATGTTTGGACTGAGAAGAGTTCGTTTTCAGTAGCATGGCCATAGAGTCAGTTGGGATAACGTTGTTGTGAAGGTTTCTTTGGGATTCCTCTTGGAGAAGCGGATAGTACACTTTTTGGATAGAAAAGGCAAGGGTGTGGTAAGGAGAAAATGGCTTCTCAAAAAAGAATATGAGTCATTCAAGCCTATCAGAAATTTCATGACTGAGTCTTGATGCTATGCAAGAGACATAGACTCAAAAATACTGCAAGTACATACAGAAAAAGCTGCACATGTGCATCTAACAATAGGCCTATATGTTATATATTTATCCCAAAGAGCTTTGAATGCATTATAGTACTGAGCAATAGATAATGCACTCTGATTCATTGTACGAAGCGATTTCTCAAATTGAAAAACCCTAGGACTTGTGCTAAGTGCATATCTATTACGCAATGCATCCAAACTTCTTGTGCAGAAGTAAAATATAACAATGACTGATGAATATCTTTACAAATTGAGTTCAGTATCCATGATAACACGAGATTATTCGCACGCAGCCAAGGCATGAATAGCACAGTGTTAGAAGAAGGAGGTGGAACGATTGTACCATCAATGAATCCTCCTTTATTTTTGACGATGAGAGCCATAGTGATAGTGCGTGACCACGAGGTGTAGTTGTCGCCATTGAAGGTCTCCGTGACGATTAAAGCACCAGGATTTTCGGATGCATGAAGGTAGAAAGGCGCCGATGGATCATCAGACGGTGAAATCGTAGTCGTCATGTCGCATTGGATCAATATCGAAGAGATCGAAACAGATCAATATCAGAGAGATCGGATTGAATCGACAAAGATCGAAACAGGTCGGAGTAGATCTAGGGTTTTGATTTTTCGAGAGAGCAAAAAATGAATTGGATTTTGCAGCGGGAAATGAAGAACAAGATCGGAAAATCAATCGGCGAATGATACCATATCAGATTCTGAGATTAACATCAAACCATAGATGTGTGAATCGAAAGAGGGAGAGATGAACAAGAGAAAATGAAGAAAGCTTGAATAGAACGGCGATGAAAGAAACGAAAATTACAGAATGAAAAATTAGGTCTTAGCCTCACACTTTGAGACTATTTATATGTTCATCTATTTACCTAATAAGGGTAATAACAACTATACTATTACATACTATCAACTATTACAAAAGGGTTAAACATGAAATTGTAAATAGCAATTTTATTATCCAAATATTCAATTCAATTGTCCTTAGTTATTGTTCATTGTGATTATATGAGATCATTATTGGTTCTAGTAAAAACACTATATAGACATCATAAATTATTTTTTATCATTGCTATAATTTTTATTGCAGGTTGAAATTGTTGATTAAAATTCAAATGTATAATTCCCAATCTACTTTCTCGTTTTGCTTTGTTGACATGGTGAGTGTTGATATACTCTCTATAGAAGTTATATATGATATGTATTAACATTTCTTTTCATAGTTTTTATCTTTTATTGATACAAACATACTTTATATCATTTCTATAAGATGTAATGAAATGATTTAAATTTGATATCCTATGTGTATAATTTTATTTTTACTAGGAATAAAATTTGTTGTTTTTCTTATTTTGTTGGAATTGGAGATACTATTATTTCATAATTTTGTGCTACATTATTCTCTTGCACGTACACAAGCACATTGTTAAAATTTGTGGGTTGTGTTAGTATTTTTCTATATATTCATATTTATGTTGTTTTCTTCTTGGTTCTTGCTTCTTGGTACATTTTAAGGCACTTTGTTCTTGTTTACTGCTACATGAGTTTAATAAATATAGACGCAAAATACTTTTAAAAAAAAACAAAACACACATAGATAACACATGTTTTGAAAAGTGTTCTATTTTATCATCATCTCAGATAGCACTTATGATAAAAATTATTATTTTGTTAATATTATAGGCAACGGTTAATAAAAAAAAAAAAAAAATAGTGAAAAGTTATGCATAATGCTTATATCATCGTATATGTTAATCCAATTGAATTCTTGCATAACACTTTATATCCTATAGTTCTTTTAATAATAATGACTCAAATAACAGCGTTATAAAAAAATGTTATCTAAAGTTTTCTTGACGTAGTGAAATAAAGTTACACTAATAATTGATGACGTTTTTAAAAATAAAAGAAAAAAAAAACGTTAGATTATGTATCTGTACTAATTACTGAAGCATTCATTTACATGTCATTTGGACTGGATATAACGCGAAGGAAGCAAGAAATAAATGACTAAAAATATTTTTTCGACTCATGATCTATTCATATTATTATTTTGGAAAAATATGGGATATAGTTCTATATTATAATAAAATAATTTAATTAAAATTCAGTTATTATAATCAATTTCAACCCACTAAATTTGAAAAATAAATATTTTTCAGTTAACTATAAAGATATATTAAATTTTTCTAATTGCCTGTTCGGAATTGATCTTTTTTACTCAAAAAAGTGAGAAATCTAACCCCATAATTGTGGCATATTAATTAATTGCACAACTATCACACATTCATCTCTCAATACTTTCACATTTTAACCTTTTCACCCGAGAAAGAAGGTTATACAAGTGGACCGTGTGACGATCACATATTCATCTCACGATGTCTTTATACTTTAATTTTTCACTTCAAAATCTACAAAAATTTATGAGAATAGACCGCATAGTTGTGGCATATCGTGATACTTATCGCACATTTGTTGCATATTAATCGCAAAATATTTTAACACTTCTTCATAGTGGGTGGAATAAATTAACCTATGAAGGGGTAGTGTGAAAAACACTATGGTATCATAGGGTATGACTAAGGTCCCGTAATGACATGATTTCGTTCCTTTATTTTAGATGGTTGGATATTCACAATTATTACTGGATACAGGGAACTTGTATATTAACCACACACATGGTGTAATCTAACTGGTTTAAATAATAAAGGAACCATCCCGTTACGAACCTTAGTATTTTTCATTTTCATAGGTGAAAAAAACTTTTTCACATAATCTTTGATGTGGTCAGTAGTAGCGGTTCGTGAGGAACTGGTTGTGATCCGGTCATTACTGCCTTATGAAGAGGACCGACTAGGCATTATGGTAGTTGGGTGATTGGGAGTGCTCGGCGTCGCTTGGTGTTCGGCGCCCCTCAAGTGCTCGGCCTTGGGAGGTATCCGGCGGTCCTCGTGCGTCCGGAGGTTCTCGTGCGCGTCGAGGAGGCTAGAACCCCAAGGTGACTTTGTGATCAAGTTACGAAGGAGTTAGTAGCAACAAGGACTCTCGAGATTCAGAAGACCCTTAACCTAATTAAGAGTTTGATATCAAGAAGACTTCTTATTCCACTGGGACTCCTCAAATTTCTCCTATAAAAGGGAGCAGGTTCATTCATTTTACACAACACACACATATTTGTTGTCTCGTTACTCTACCGTTTTCTCTTTGGACCGCCACTGTTTTGAGCGTCCGAGTGTTCGCACCGGGACCACCCCCGGCGTGCTTTGCAGGTACCGACGATCAAGGAGACGCAACCCGGTTCGAGAGGAGCGGTCCAGCGGTTCGAGTATTTGTGGTATAACAATCTTTATCAAACTTATTCTCAAATCCACCATTTTTAGTTTTTGGCAAGAACATCCACATGCGTTCCATATTTTGGAAGCAATTTAAATTGTGAAAAGGCTTTTTAAAATAGAAAAAAACTTACATAACAAAATGAACTGAGAAAACTCGATCGAGATAATATAAAATCCCGGAAATCATTTCATGTTATAAAGCACATGAAACCACACATTACAAAAGCATCAAAAAAAGCAAAAAGAAATTTAAAAAAAAAAAAATGGTAACAATAATCATGGGTCGCTGATCATTTCAAGAGACATGTCATCTAGAGCTGCACGAAGCCTGGCACGTAAGGCACGCCAGCGCCCTTGACCCACTCGTCCCCAGCAAACACTACCTGCGGGGTGAAGCTCTCGGCTATCTTGGGCGTGATCTTCTTGATGCCCTTCCACGTCACCCTCTTGCTTAGGTTCGACCCAGCCCCACGGTTCTGATACTCCCCATAGTACAGTGTGTCGAGCGCAAATGTCCCCATCCACGGAGACCACCCCTCGGGTGCTATGAACCCGTCGATGTTAGACTGCATGATGATGGTGCGTGAGTACTCCTTCCACGGCCGGCCCAGGTAGGCCGACAATGCCGGCTTCACGGCCAGGAAGCCCGGTTCGGCCACGATGTCGCAGTTCTGGATGACGGTCACACCGAGGCTGCGCTTGTCCTTGCGGCCCTGTGCGGTCACCATGCACGCCTGGTTGTCCATCGGCTTCCGCACCACCAGTCGGCTGTTTTGGAACACAGCCACCGCATCCCCGAAGATGAAGTCGATCGTGCCCGTGATTGTGCAGCCGCGGTAGTATTGGCGGTATGCGTGGGCGTAGAGCGTGTCTTGGTACCCGTCCATGTGCACGTTGTAGAACACGGCCTTATCGCCCGAAGCGCGCACCGCCACTGCCTGGTGCTTCTCGGGGCCAGCCGTGTTCTCGATACCGATGTCCTTGGCGAAGAACCCTTCGCCATTCACCGCTGCAAGTAAGATGATGAAACAGTTTGACTAGTTATTATGTACTTTCTACAATTGTAAAAGTTACAAGGTAAATTTGTCATCTACCCCATATTTTATAAATTTTCCTTTTTTTTTTTTTATTACCAAGGACGGCAGTGTGGAAGGTCTGGGTGCCATCGGCGTAGTTCTTGCTTCCGGAGATGCGGGTCTTTGTGGGGCCGTCGCCGATGATGGCAACGTTGTTGACGTGGCGTGGGATGATGACGGTCTCCTTGTATATGCCAGCCTTGACGTAGATGACAAATGTCGCGTTGCTTTTCTTGGGGAGGGTATTGAGGGCTGCTGCTATTGTCTTGTACTGCCCGCTACCGTCTTGGGCCACCACCGCATTCGGCTTCAGGCTAGCTGGTGATGCAGCCATCAACTTGCGGGCCTTGGAGTCCACGTACGAAGGCATACCTCCTTCCGCTAGCAGCCTGCGGTTCGTAAAGCTACCCAAGTCGAGGGAGGATAAGATTGAGGAGAAATCGGTCACCATGGCCAGCCCATTGCTCAGAAGCTCGCCTGACGTCTTCAACAACTTCTTCATCTTTTCGCCCGTTTCACCTGAATGCCAATTAATATTATATAGGAAAACAACACTCAATATTAATTGTTACGTAAATAATAGGAAAATTTCTAATTTTGGTCCTTTTATATGTCTAAAATCCTATTTTTACACTACTTTTCACTTCATTAATAATAATACGTTATGTTGCAATTTGTATCATTTTTAGGACATTATCCATAAAAAACAGTACATTATGTTGCAATTCGTATCATTTTTAGGACATTAATCTCAAAAAATAATGAACCATTTTCGCGATAATTTCCCAATAGTGATACAAATTGTAACATAACGTACTATTATCGATGAGAGGGAAGTTAGTGCAACAAAAAAAAACTTTAGACAAGTAAATGGACCAAAACTGGATTTTGCCTAAAACGATATAATTTATTACCGGTGGTGTTCTCAAAGGCATCGAGGCAGGTCTCGTGGTAGGTGATGGAGGCGCTGAGCCATGTCTTGACATCGTCGATGTAGTCTCCGACTTTGCTAACATCAAAGTCGCTGACCTTTTCGAAGGAGCGCCTGAGGTCCTCGATGGAGGTGTCGAGAGTCTCGTCACAGACTTGGAGGGCGCCTTTGGTGCGCTCGTCCTCGGCGGCCTTCTTGAAGAGGTCGGAGTTCTTGATGGCGTCCTCGATGTTTTTTACGGTGGACTCGAAGGCGGCCTTGATCAGCTGCTTGGGGTCGGTGGTGTTGGCATTCGCCAGGCTCTCCTCGCACGTCTCCTTGTAGTCGGTCGGGGAGCAGATGGCGTGGACTGCCTTGGTGGAGGCTGAGATGCCACTAGAGGATGAGGATGAGGAGTCCGAGGAGGCCTCGCCTCCCTTCTTGGTGACACCGACAGCCACGGCCACGCACATGGCCACGAGGAGGATCGAGGCAAGGCCGGCCACGGCCACCTTCTTCTTGGAGTCGCTACCCATATTTTACTTTTTTTTTTCCTTTTTTTTTAGGTTTTTTTTTTTTTTTTTTTAAAACAACAAAATTGATGTGTATTAATGGGATATTTTTACAGAGCTCGGAGGGATCCTCTAAGCAGTTTTATTCGTTTCCAAATCCCCTTGAACTCTGAGAGATGAATGTTGGGGAGATAAAGTGGGGGGGTTATATATAGGCCGAGGAGTTTAATTGTGCATGAATGTAATTAACTCTTTTTAGTTCGTTTTATTGTTGTGGTTGGGAATTAAGCCCATGTTTTAGGAAGTGAAAGAATGGTTAATGGGAATTGTAAGGATATGAAAGGCTGGTCATGCATGAAAATTTAGTGGACATGCTGCAATTGTTGGAAGATGTTAGAACATTGTCCATAGCATGGAGAATGGAAATTAAAAAATTATGTCTCCAATGGTTAGTGTGAATTGTGGTATCATTTGTGACGTGTAAAATTATAATTGGGTGGAGAAAAGAGAAAATGAATAAACAATATATAATAAAGGAGAATGCTACCATCCCGTTGCGGGATGGTTCCGTTGTATTTTTAAGCGTTGGATTAATTATCCATCACTAGATTACATGTATATCTATGGCTAGAAAACACAACGGAACCATCCCGCAACGGGATGGTAGCATTCTCCTATAATAAATAGTGGAAGTATTCTAGAATGACTTCTACATGTAGAAGACCTTCTAGACATTTTTCATGCGACATAGGATTGTGTGTGCCATGTGGCAATAAAATAGAACAATAGAATAGCTATTGGAGATGCTCTTACGGTCTCGTTACAGAATCATCTCGTTGGGCTCTGTAACCGTTAGATCTACTATCTCTGACGGTTACTTGATGATCTAACGATTACAACCCCGACGAAATAGTTCTCTAACGGGACCTTAACATTTCCCGCAATTGTTTCACTTTTTTTGCCTTTTTTTCTTTCTTTCTTTTTTTTTTCCTCTTATTTTATCGTCAAAAACATGGTGGAAAAACATTTTTCACTCAAAAAATATCGTATTTGGCAAAAAATAATTAAAAGTACTATTATATAATAATCTATACTTATATGAAGAGTCATCATATTTACTAAAATTAGTAGCAAAAAAATAGGTCAGCATTTAATGCAACACATAAGTAATAGTTTCATTATTTTTCTTATTTATTTAAAAATCATACAATTTGATTTATAAATACGCCTTAATATAATCATACAATTTAGTTTATTAAAATCATACAATTTAAAAATCATATATATATAGTACTTTTTGTAATAAATTTAAATAAAATGTGTTACTTAAATATCTAAGAAATTTAAAAATTAAAATGTTTAAATTAATTCATAAACAATTTATAAATCTCTATTTTATTTAAATATGTAATTTTATTTAAAATAATATTAAATATAGCCAAATTTATTTAGAAAATCGTATCGATCCTACCAGTTCAACCGACTGGTGTTGACAGATTCAATAGAAAATATTTTATTTAAGTGAACTAGACTGATTATAAACTGGTTCTCGGTCCATCCAGTCGGACTGTGTCCAACACGGTTTAAGCGATTTATCTAATATTAGTTAATTGACACTAGTGTCATAATTATCATACAATTTAAAAATCATATATATATAGTACTTTTTGTAATAAATTTAAATAAAATGTGTTACTTAAATATCTAAGCAATTTAAAAATTCAAATGTTTAAATTAATTCATAAACAATTTATAAATCTCTATTTTATTTAAATATGTAATTTTATTTAAAATAATATTAAATATAGCCAAATTTATTTAGAAAATCGTATCGATCCTACCAGTTCAACCGACTGGTGTTGACAGATTCAATAGAAAATATTTTATTTAAGTGAACTAGACTGATTATAAACTGGTTCTCGGTCCATCCAGTCGGACTGTGGCCAACACGGTTTAAGCGATTTATCTAATATTAGTTAATTGACACTAGTGTCATAATTAAACACCTTAAATAACATAAACAATTTCTATGACAATAATAAAAATAATTGTAATATTTTTCTAACTAATTAATTATATGGTCCATCTAAAATACTAAATTATATTGTCCATTAAAATTGATGGCACCAACATGAAGATTCATATCATAAGTTAAATAATTTATACACTACAAAAAAACCTCTTACATTCCAACGGAAATTTTCCGTTGGAATTTTTTATATATCCGTTGGAATAGGTATTCCAACGGATATTCCTACATATAAAAATTCGTAGGAAAAACGGCTGTTGGAATAGCTAAAATCTAACGAAAAATCCTATGGAAATAAATTCCTACAGCTATTCCAACGGAAAAAATCCGTTGGAATTCCTCAACCATCCAACACTTTTTCCAACATAAAATTAAGTTTGTTGGAATATTCATTGGAATTTCCAACGGAAATTTTTGCCGTTGGAATTTTTCGTTGGAATTGAAGTGTTTTCTTGTAGTGATATTTACATTACACATTTGCATATAGTCAAAATTTAAAATGTAATTACCAACATAGGTTGGCTCAAGTGGTAAGCAGTTTGATGTCGCTTAAGCAAGGTCTCGAGTTCGAGTCATTGTGGATGCAGAAAACCTTTATTGGGAGACTCACCCACCATCGTCAGGTGTGCAACCCTAGTCGACCAACGGATTAGTCGGGGTATAGCTGCGGATACCGTGGCTGGCTACCAAAAAAAAAATTAAAATGTCATTCATTGTTATCTAAAATAAAATTTTATATATTGTATGCATACATATAGGAAATAAATTTATTTTTCTTTCTACATGTGCAATAGTTATAATAAGTTATAACGTATGCCATTATTTGAACTTAAAAGTTCGCTACAATAGTTAAAGACAAGTTTTGAATTAGACGAGTGATGAGTTACACCAACTCCGTTACCAAAAAAGCGTTTTGTTAAATTAAATTAAATGAATTATTATTAATAGGGACATCAAAACAAGTATTGGGGAGGTGTATTCATTATAAATTATTCTTTTGTATTAATTTAAGATTCAAGAAGTCTTAAAAAGTATTATGATATATTTAAGATTTTAATAAATTTCAAAAGACATGATGCATGATTTATAAAAGTCTTAAAAATTAATTAGAAATTCAAATAATTTATCACTTTGACTTATTTTGACTTTTTAAGACTTAGTGAGACTAAATTTTATATCAAATCCCACCTTCCTGCATGAGATTTCTAAAAATTCATGTTAAACAAAAAACTGCTAAAATCTAACTCATAATTGCAAACCAATTCCCCTTATTTATCTCATGTCAGTTAAAATTGGATATCAGATTTTCTGAACAATATTTCCAGCGCCTCGAGCCCGCGCTCTCGAGACCACAGCGGCGCCTGCAGAGTCGCCTGCTGCCCGCGAGTGCCCAGGTGCGCGCCCAGTGCCCGCAAATTCCACGCTCGCGCCCGCGAAGCCAAATTCCACGTTCGCGCCCGCGAAGCCCCAAAGCTCGTGAGTCTGCCTTACCGCGCGAGTCAACCAACGCGAGCTCGCGAATCCGCCCATGCTCACGAGTTTTCACTCGCGCCCGCGAATCTGTCCCGATGCCCGCGAGTGCCCAGCCATGTACTGCACGCCCGCGAATCTCGAGCCCGAGCCCGAGCCCGAGCCCGCGAAGCCGCACCTAAGTAGCACAGAGTAGTAATTTTTTGAAATGACAAAAATATATATTCCTCAACAAAAAGGAAGCACCCAATCAAAGATCCTGTCCGGATTGTGCGGTATCCCCTTATCAGAGACCAGTGAACGCTACTTGATCCCGGGCCACCTGACTCCCACGTCAAGTCTGCCATGACCATAGTTGTAATCATATTTTGTGGAACCTCTCGGTCCTCAGTGAGTTTCGCCTGTGTAATCATAACCATAAACTTGGCGAGCCCCAAAAACTTTTTGGCCCGCCATTGGTTTTGGCCATGTAACCATAGTAGTAAATCATAATCTCTGAGTTTGTTATAAGCTAATATTAGATTCAATCCTTCTGTGATCATTGAATTAGACCGTAACAACAAATACAAATTGTATCTTTTGAAGTAAAGAATATGACATGCACATTAAATCACCACTAATTATGTACAATCATTTTATAGCAAAGGTGCTGGGTCATGTGGAATTAGATCATAATAACAACAATACAGATTGTATTAATCAATGGATAAAGCACAATTAAGTGCACAGTTTTTAACTAACAACAAACAATGAGTTGGATTAATCCTACCACATTGGGTAGGTGAAACACTCTTCTCTCATAGCACCACACAAACCTCCAAACCAATCGTCGAGACTCCGAACTGAGTCCTTGTTGTCCATGTCGAAACTTATGAGCTCCTCCAAATTATCATCATCTTCCAACACCACCACATCATCATCATCAACAACATTCTCCCACAAACCAACTGGATAATTACCGTTTACCCAACAAACACCATGATCACTCGGAACGACCGAATAACCGAAATCCATCATCTGATAATTACCAGAATACCCTCCAAGCACCTTCTTCCCTTCACCAGCCTGTACTACTGGTAGGGTTTCACAACCAGACGGCCCACTTTGATCCACCAAAGTCGAGAGCAAGTAGGCCAATCCCCCTTCCGCAGGCCCACAATCTGATTCAGCAAGGCCCGGCCCGCTCTTCCTCTTCCTCTTCTTCGTCTTATCCTTCTTCCTCCTGAGAAGGCAAAGCACATAGTCCTTGAACTCCGGTTTCACCTGCCCCAACTTGCAGTCCGGAACCGTATACTCCTTCAGAATCCACTCCCCGAAACAATGGGCACCACCTTTCCTGGGCACGTAACGGAAGGACCGCTTGTGGCCCAACAATTCGCCCCTCTCCCCGTGGATGGACACCGGCTGGCCATTGTTCAACCACGTGCCGTTCCCGATGTTGCGTGAAAAGCGCTGATAACTCCCAGAGCTCTTGGTGTTCTTGGCGACCCTTTTGAGGCGGGTGTAGAAATAGCGCTCTTGGCATTCGTCCTCGGCGGAGAAGAACTCCCAGGGCTCCTTTTCGCCGAACAGGTCGGCCACGGATATGATGAGATGGTGGCCGGCGATAGGGTTTCCGGTGACGGTGCCGAGGAGGTAGCGGCAGCACTCTTCGTCGGTTGGGCGGAAGCGCACTCCCATTGGGTAATCGTCGACTGGCGCCGCCATGGATTTTTTTGCCTTACGATCAGATCAAACCTATCGAATAATTAATTGCTCTTTTTAAACCTAAGAAGAATTGGGCCTTTGCAAAATCGAAGTGTATGTAATATATTTATACATGTATGTTCCGATATCGGTGGGGTTTTGAAATTTTTTACCGTTTTAATTTTGGGGTTAATTTTGGTATGTCTGCCAATCGAGCCGTTTTCCTTCTTGTTTTAAAGGGTGCTTTATTTATTAAAAAAAAAAATGAAAAAAAAAGGTGGACAAAAATCAAAATAACGTATTTTTGCGTTTTTCTAAGAAAAATTTCTTAGGGATGCGTATTTCCGTATACGTTTTAAAAAATAATTTTGTAAAATTAAAAAAGAAAAATTTCCTTATAAAAAGTCGACATGAATAAAGAATAATAATTATTAAACGTATTATATGAATATGCTTTTATAATTTATAAACGTATTTTCGAAATACGTTATTTCTTCTATAATATAATATTAGAAAAAAGGAAAATATATTAAAACGTATTTTACAAATACGTTTATATTTTTAATTTTAAAAAAAATAAAAACAAAAAAATAATTTAAAAAACGTATAATGAGAATATGTTTCATAATTTATAAAAACGTGTCCAATGCCGAATACGTTTTCATTTAATGAATTTTGAAAATACTTTTTATAATTAAATAGATGCAAACGTATTTTGATAATACATTTTACAATTATATATATATATATATATATAAATATATATATATATAAACTCTTCTTCTCCATCACAATTTTGCATTTTAGTAGGGGAGAGCAGGCGGAAGCGAGCAGAAGTGAAAAAACATTTGGTAAAAAAAAAAAAAAAAAAAACTCGACCCCATCCTCACCTCGGCATGAACCAACAAAACCAACACAAGCCTCCTTTCTGGTTATTCATTCGCACGAGATATATTGACTTATCTCAACTCTTTACATCGTTTGGAGTTGTTTGAAGATTGGGAATTGCTATAATATGTTTGAATGTGGTGGTATTTGAAGATTGAGAATTGCTAATTGCTTATCGATTATATGTGTATGTTGAATTGGAGATTGGAATTTTGTCGTAAATTATCAATTGTGTTTTGGTTGGTTGTTGTTGGCCTCAGGGTTTTTTGAAATTAGGGTTAGAATTAGGGCATTGAATTGATCTGAAATATAGATGAATTCTATGTTATTGTTAGATTATGGGTATTAGGGTTATGGAGGATTATTTGATTGGGAATATTTTTTTTTGATTTTTTGGTTGAAGTAAAAAAATGGGTTTTAAATTTATAATGATAAAAGAATAACTGAATATTTTGGGTGTTGGATTAGACATTATGTGTTGTTGTAATTGAGAATAACTGAAAATGATTTTCTGCAATAGGTATAAATGGCGTATTACGGTCCATACCTTGTTAATTTGTATTGGCAGTTTGTGAGGAATAGGTTGAGGGATTTGTTTTATTTAAAGATCATCCAGATGGTTTATTTGTTATTCGGAAAAAGATATCATATGAACAATTGGTAGCGATGATTTATGAAAATTGTCAGTTTGGAGAAGGTTGGATAATTCAGGAGATTACTTTAATGGTTAGCCAACCCGATGGTTCGTGGAATATTGCAATACTCAATAACGATAGTGTTCGTCAATGGATTTATTACTTTCCTCCTATGTCCATTGTGTATATGCATTTATCGTTTGAGTCAATTACATCGATTACAGAGGTTGAGGATGTTACTCCTTGTTACGGGGGAGTGGTTGATGTTGAGGGTATGTCAACTTCTCATCTACGTAATTTTGGAGAAGGGACAAGCTCAAATGCAATGGGAAAATGAGAACGGGGAAGAAGAAGAAGAAGGCGATGAAGATTTCATTCCCGGAGAAGATGATTTCACAGACGAGACCTTAGAAACCGAATCAGATATATCGGTAAAAGAGAAGAGTGAACCTGAGTTCATTGAAGAAGAGCACCCCTTTCTGTTTAATATATATTTGATAGGCAAGGGATAACCGAGTTACCCGACTCGGGTCGATCTCGAGGGAAGGCTATTCGGAGCTTTGTCTACTAAATGATCGTCCAAAATCACAAAAAGGGGAAAATAAAGTCCTAGACATTCTAAGCAATTGATTGGGAAGTTGATTAACACTAACGAGCACTTAACAACGAGCAATTAATTGAAAACAAGATCAAAAGACGAGCAATTCGCAACCTAAACCATCGAAATCTCAAGTCATAAACGCAACGGGATGGTAATCACATAACATTGTCATGCTAGCTAAACTCTAGGTAGATAAATCACACTCTAGCACAAAACGAGTAAGCATTCATCTCCTAATCACACTTAGTCAAGTATTCATGATCTAAAGCAACAATCTTTTCCTCCAAATAACACAAGCACAATATCAATTTTCTCAAAGAGCAAATAAAGATATACGAAGTAATGGGTCTAAGACTAAATACCCACTCTTACACGCACTTGGAAGAGAAACGGAGTCAAAAGCTCGAAACTTTACTCGAAACAATATCGCCGGAAAACCTCCCAGAAAATGACATGATTTCCTAGTCTAGAGAGAAAACATAAATATAAGCTAAGTTCTAAAAAGGGAAAAATGAAATAATGAAAGATGCCTCCCAAAATGCAAAGGACAAAATGTATTTATACTACTACCCACACACACACACACTAAAACACGCAGTTTAAATGAAAGCACTCTCGACGTAGCCACGAAATTCGCGAGCTCGCGGTGTGGAAGTGGCGCACTCTCGACGACGCGGATGCTGGGGCGTGCTCGCGGGCGTGTACTGGCAGGGCTCTCGACGGCGCGCGCGGATCCGCGAGGTCGCGCGCGAGGCGGGCAGCATGATCATGCGGCAGACGGCACTCTCGAGTTCGCATGGACTTCCGCGAGTGAGCGCAACAGGCGGGTGAGGACGATGTCGATGCTCTCGATGTCGCGGGAAGTGTGGCGAGCGCGTGGCACGACTGGCAAGGGCTCTCGACCTCGTGGATTTCTCGGCGGGTACGCGAGCGGGCGTATGAGCTGGGCACGGGGCTCTCGACGTCGCGGGGACTTCCGCGTGTACGCGAGCGCGCACTGGGCGCCTGACAGCAACGCTCTCGACAACGCGGATCTTCCCGCGAGTTCACGGCGTGGGCAGTGCGTGCGCGCTAGCAGTGCTGGCCGTTGTGCGTGCGTGCGTGCGGAGTGTTGCGCGTGCGTGCGGGATAACGGCTAATGCTCGATGTACTCGATCGACAATGATTCGTCCGAAATGGCTCGAAATACTCAGAATTGACTCGAATTTCTTTTCATCCTCGAAATAGACCTGAAAATATATCAAAAGCACGGAAAAGTACGCCAAGATACAAAATAAAACGAAAAACACAAAAACACTCGGAAAACGACAAAATAGACCGGACGACACTAAAAAGAACCTAAAAATGACTTGACAACACATATAAACACATAAAAATAAGAACAAAAACATAACAAACAACTCCCCCACACTTAGCTTTTTGCTTGTCCTCAAGCAAACAAAATAACAAATAGCTCGAAGAGATATATCGAACGGGCCAAAATTAACGAACATGCAAAATGACACTCTCATTATCATTCGGTTATCCCGAAATCAATATTCAATCCGAGACACGGTTCCCACATAATGAATCAAACGAAACAAAAACCCGTCCCAAGTTAATCCACAAATGATCGCTCGAGTCAAACTCCCTCATTCACATGTACGTGCAAAAACCATAGATGATCTACAAAACATGAAATAATAGGCACGAGATCAATAAGCCAACTCCATGATTTTTTTTTTCTTTTTTTTATATTATTGTTTTTTTTATTCAATGAGCCACTTTTTCCAAATGAGGGCCGTTAGGACGATTATTACCTAGGTTTAACCTCAGGGTTTGTCCCCGAGTCGCCTAGGCCGGTTTCCCGTGCTCGTTGACCCGATCTTTCTAGAAGATTAACCGAGCCAAGAGGAGCCTAATCCTTTTGACTCCCACGAACTCATTTCGTGAGCTTTTATTTCCAAACGAGGTTTCCGGACGAGATGATCTAGGTTTGACCTCGAGGGGTTTCCCCGAGTCTCCTAAACCGGTTTTCCAGGCTCATTATCCCAATCCACGAATGGCTCGGAATAAGAGGAGCATAATCCGTACTTCCCCGCGAACTCACTTTTTATTCTTTTTTTTTTTTTAGGGAGAGGCACACAAAGATACATCACAATTACAATACATAATCATCACAAATCAAACGAAACGTATCACAAGTGTATAAATAACACGTTTACAACGATAATCGAACATAAGGTAAGCATGCCTCAAGACAACCAATCGAGAATAAACCAAGAACAAAACAATTCCGTTAATCCACATGCGAGTTCCAATGTCAACGAATCATCAATCAATCAAAGGAAACCATCAAATTCATCAAGTACATCAAGCATGAATGCTAATAGTGAAACCAATCAGTAATCTCGACTCACCACTTAGCTATCTCGACTCTCGAACAAACATCAAGTTTCATGCGGGAGAGATGACACAAACACACAAACACTCAAATAAAACCGGTCCAAGACACAACAAAAACGAAAAATAAGGCACAAAAACGAAGAGAATATCACCTAAACATGCATAATCAGGAAATCCCTCCCCCACACTTAAAACAAAGCAATGTCCTCATTGCTTGACCAAAAAGTATAGGCGAAAGCACATAATTATGTACGTTCATGCGGTAAAAATGAAACGAAAGACAAAAATCAAAGAAACAAGATAAGATAACACAAAGACACACAAAGAGCAAAGAAAGAAAGAGAAAATAGGAAAAGAGAATGCGTACTCGACACGGTGGTCGTCACCACCGTGTGTCCAATAGTGGTCGTCCAGAGGGAATAGAGGAGGTCAACTGAATGCCATTGAGCGTGAAATTGAGCCATCCGAACGGTTTAATATTTTAGCACATGAATCGAGAAAGGCCATGTGTG